ATCTTCGTCAATAGTATTATACATCCATAAATATCTTCCAATCCAGAATGAGAAGAGGAGAAATTTTAATGGCCTGCTGATTATGTGAATGGAAACAGTAAGAGACAGTTGGTGCTGAAAATTAATGAAGTAGAGTTTCATGGCTCCAACCTACCTTATGTTACCAGTAAAATGAATTTGGGCATCTCATAGTCAGTCCTTAGGAGTTTTTATGCATTTCACCAAATGTACAACTGAGCACATGTTAGTTAACATACTGGTTCTTTTCCCACATTTATACTATCGAGTTTCATTACAAGTGGCATTGCTTTAAAAACAAATACTAAGTAATATTGCAAGTTCCTATATTTCAGAACATTCATCTGTAAATTCTATTTTGTGTGTGTGTGTGTGCAATTGAGTCATTGTTGACTCCTGTCAACTCCTGACTAGACCCTGAAGTTACCTTGGCAAGATTTCAGACATGCATAGCCATTGCCTCTTTCCTGGGGCTGGGAAAGAAGGACTGGCCCAACTGGCAGTCAGCTGGCTTTGTGTCTAAGTGGGACTGGAACTCAACTTTGGCACCTACCCTTTGGAACAATCTACCCCCAGAGATACGAGTGATCTCCGACCTCCAGACCTTTCGTCGGGCCCTAAAAATTCATCTCTTTCAGTTAGCCGGTCTCTCTTGATTTTATGATTTTATGGTTGGTTTTAAATTTTGATATGGATTTTAAATTGATAAATTTTAAACTATGGGCCAAATTTAATTATTTTAAATCTATTTTTAATCGTATTTATGAATAAATGTTTTTATTTTGGCTGTTCACCGCCCTGAGTCCGAAAGGAGAAGGGCGGTATAGAAATTCGAATAATAAATAAATAATTAATAAATAAACTTTCCTGGTTTCTAGCCAGGTCTCTTAACCAAACTGTCTCTCTGTCTGTAAATACTAGTCATTATGCACTGTATATGTTAGGACTAATACACATAAGAGATTGATATAGATAATAATAACAGGAATTTGTGCACATTCACTGGGCCTGATGGAGAATTTATACATTTCTAAACCAACTGAAGCTTTTATATACTGTATAATGCAATTAAAAATAGCGGGGCAGAGAGGAAAACCAACATCAAAATCTCTTCCCCATATTCCCATGTTCCCTTTAGTCACAAATAAATGAATACCGTATTTAAAATGAAGTGTTACTTGCCCTGATGAAGACAGGTAATGTTTGCACGAGCAAAATAAAAATCTGTCTCAAGGGGTGTTCCCATTCCCACAAAGGAAGCAATAACAGTCTCCTCCTTCTGGGTTGACCTGTTCACATTTCTAGGTGCTGATGGATCCTTTCCTGCTTTCCTGTCAACTGAACTGAAATTACAATGGAGCGGCCAGTTATCCATTTAGGTTAGAAGAAAGGAAATAAGTTTAGAAACTAAGAAATTATTGCTCTGTTAGGTCAGGAAGAGAGAAAAATCTAAAGGTTTTGGAGTTGGGGAAAATGGTTACAGAGCAAATGTAGCATCTTGGTCTATAATCCTACACTTCAAGCAGCACAAAGGAGGCAAAATAAAGTACTCTACAGTTCTTTCAAAGCACTGAAAGCAGTCCATGATCCCAGATGTATTTTAATTTTAATCTCAGATGTACAACCTAATCTATAGTCGTTTCCAGCTCTTCTGGGACTTTTTTTTTCTTCCCTAAACTGGGTTATACTGGGTTCTGGCACTTGGCCTATACCCCCATTCCTGGCAACCCAAATGAAGTTTCTCTTCCTGCAGTAGGATGGTATCTCATAATGCTCTGATGCTTGGAGGACACTTTTCCTAGGACAGGGGTGGGCAATTGTGGCTCTTTTACAACCTGTGGACTTCAACTCCCAGAATTCCTGAGACAGCTTGGCTGTCCTGAGCCAACTATTGAGGAGGAGAGCACCCTGCCCCTCTTCACAAGGCACACTTGGGGACTGAGACTTAAGGAGTCACTGTGGGAGGGGCATTTGTTGCGAACAAATGCTGAATTCCTGGAATGTTGAGCGCCGACATTTGAACTTTCCTGGATTCCTTGCATTCTTTCTGGATTTCTGAATTACTTGCTGTGCTCCCTTGCTTCCCGGACTCTTCAACTTGCCCTGCTGGATTTCTTGCTGTACAAGCATGGTGTTCAGAGCATTGAGCTGGACTATTTGCAGCCAGAGGCTGCTTGAGGTTGTGTGTGTGTGTGTGTGTGTGTGTGTGTGATTACTTTGCTTTGGGACTTTCCAGAAACGTGGAAGCGTTCAGGGAAATTTGGAGCAATAAAGGGGCGGTTTGAACTGTCAGTTGCCTATGTTATCTCTGTGTCGTGGCCTGGGTCATCACAGGCCCTCTGAAAAGTATTTATGACTGAAAGTTGTGATGGCCAGTCTCCCCACAGCCAGGTGATTGAATCTGGGTGCTCAGTAACTGGCCCGCATTTACAGCTATTTATTTACAGTAGCCCACTGTCAACATTTTACATAGTCATGATTGATGATGTTATTGCCAGAAACCAGCATTTACTTCTGGTTTCCAAGAATAAATATCAATAGTGAAAAATGGCTTTCCTTCATGACTGAAGCATTTGCTTTACAACCAAAATAATCATATAGTGATGTCACAATAAAGGTCATATAATTGGGTCTAGTCATGTGATGACAGTCTTAATGACAGATGTACCTTTAATTTGGGGCTCAATTGGAGATGTAAGTTGAGGGCCACCTGTACTGTATTTTGACTATTACAAGAATGTTATTTTCTGTAAAGCAATTGTGTTTTTTTTTTTAACAATAGTCACGTAGCCTTTTTCTGACTCTTAAATGCCTAGAATACTCAAGTACTAGTGAATGGCCTCCACAACTATTCTACTCATTACACCAGGGCTGTCAAACTCCTGGCCTGTGGGCCGGATGCATCATATGTTCGCTACGCCCACGCCCAGTTTAACAAAGGGGGGAAAAGTCCCAATATATCACATGATGCCATCATGACGACGCAAGTTTGACACCCCTGCCTTACACTATTGCTCCTTCATTGCTCCTGCTGACCTCCCTTGAACTTTATCGTTACTGAGCTCATCTCTTCTGCACTACACCATAGAAATGACCTTCTTCTTCTTGTGCCATATCTGTCATCGGATGTTGACAATCATGTTGGCGATCCTATTTTTATCAACAGCCACATGAAAAAGTGCTGCTGAGTTTTGTCCAAACCAGTCCCTTAGATTTTGAAGCCATGGTGTTCTTCTTCTGCCTGGACCTCGTTTGCCTTCAATCTTTCCCTGGAGGATTAAGTGAAGGAAGCTGTATTTTTTCTGGGTGTCGCATCATTGCTGAAATCATCATACTGACAAGCTTTGCCAAGAGAAAGCAGAAGTGCTTCTTGAGGAACTGGTTAGGTTTTTGTTTTGCTATGTGTTTTCACAATCTAGGATGCTGATCACCAGCACGGAACAAAATAGACCACCATTTGGACCCCATTCTGAAAGATTGAAGATGAAGGATCTGCTGGGTCAGCGAAGTGAAAGTAATTCTGCATGGGAGTAGGAGCCAAGTCAATGCTTAGCCCCCTTATATCACCCGAAATATATGTCTAATGTCAATGGGCAATGCCTTGAGGATATACGAGATGTTGGCAAGGCAGTATAAAGCAGAGTGATGCTAAGCACTAATTTTGTTTCTGCTTTGATTTAGAACTACTGCTGCCACTTGTAGGATCAGCTTGACAGGGATTGCTGGGTGAGCCTGGGCCTTTTGAGCCAGAGAGCTATTAGCAATTGCCTCGATGTGCCAACCAAAGATGCTGGTTTTGAAAAGAATCTTGCTGTTTGCTCCTGTTGGTTGTTATTTTTCAGTTCAGTCTGCAACTTAATTAAGTAGAGCAGCTTAACTAAGTCTGAGTGTAAATCCAAATGCTTAGTTAGGTGTTGATTAGAACTCCTGAAATCTAGATGATCTTGATCAAACTGCTTGTGTCATTTAAATATGCATAAACTTAATATAGTTTAATATAGCAAATTCTTCTGGCACTATGACTATTATTAATTGATGAACAATTCTCCTGCTTTTTAGCTGTCTTCTCAATATTTCACTAAAGCCTACATCTACAGCATTTTATTTTATATCACAAGAGAAAAAAATGATATTGTATTCTATTCTGTTCTAATTCTAATTCTAATTCTAATTCTAATTCTAATTCTAATTCTAATTCCATTCCACCCCACCACATCCCCATCCCCATCCCCATCCCCATCCAGAGGTGAAATGCTACTGGTTCGACCAAACCGGTAATGATGGTGGTGGGTGGTTCAGAGAACCGGTAGTGATGACAGCGCGAGGCTCTGCCCACCCGCCCGGTGTTCATTACTTCCTGGTTTTAACCAGGAAGTAACTTGTTTTTTACCCTCTGCACATGCACAGAAGGGTTTATGCATGCGCAGAGGGTCCGTGCGCCCATGTGATGCATACACTTTCGAATCGGTAAGGAAGGTAAGTTGATTTTACCCCTGTCTCCATCCCATCACATCCCATTTCGCAGTGGTGCAGTGGTTAGAATGCAAAACTGCAGGCTACTTCTGATCGTCAGCTGCCTGCAATTTGGCAGTTCAAATCTCACCAGTCTCAAGGTTGACTCAGCCTTCCAGCCTTCTGAGGTCGGTACAATGAGGACCCAGATTGTTGGGGGCAATATGGCTGACTCTGTAAACCACTCATAGAGGGCTGTAAAACACTGTGAAGCGGTATATAAGTCTAAGTACTATTCTTTTGTATCTTGGTTGTTCCTTCTAATCAAATTATTCTACCTGATTATGATTATTATGACCAGAAAATGAAGTGCACAGTAAGAACAAAAAAGATAGAAGGGGAATGTAAATGTTTGGGATATGATGGTCATTTTTGAATTATTGATCCTGGTAACCCTGAATCATTGCTGGCAGCAGTTGTTTTTCTTTCAACATGTGAAAATAAAGCAATCAACATCTGTTCCAGTTTTCTTTTCTTTTTGTTTATTTTAAGTAAATCATAAAACTGTTTCACATGGTAAGATTTACTTTAGGTGAAAGGAATAATTAAGACATACTTTTGGTATCAATAATTTATCTTTAAAGAAGCTCACCATATATGAACTTAAAACAGACACTTGCTAGATGGCAGCAAAGAATTAGAGATTTCTGGACCTCTCTAGGGCCACCTAATGGGTGTCCAGATTTGTGAAGCATGTGTGGATGTGGATGTGTATCTGTGTTTGCGTGTTTGCTATGTGGTTAGGGCTGAGTCCATATAACAAGATTTTTAAAAATAAAATACTTTGCCTTTGGGTTACCATCATAAACATAAGAGGTTATGTTTAAGATGTTGAGTATGTTTTCAGTTACTGTCTTCAATCAATTACAGAAATGATTTAACTTTATGACTTCATGATTTAGTCTATAATAATAGGCATCTAGAAGAGAGAATAAATATCTCTGCTCTCTCTATGTGTGCATGTATGCTTCTCTGCTTGCATGATTATCCAATAGAGAGATATTACTTGATTCTCCATTGCTTTCTGCCAATACATAGTGTAGACATGAATTGTCAAATCATTTAGGGTTTACCAAAGTATCAGGGCATTAAGTTTTTATCCATGCATCTAAAAACAATTAGAAATACCACTTATCTTAAATAGTATTCAACAGATTTTCTTCATTTGATTAGGTAAATAGTGATTTCTTGACATTTTGATGTGACTGTCATCAGTCCATAGCAAACTGAAGTGACTGGTTTTGCACTCATGAATAGGACTGTTTCTCAAAAACAATGTTTTTTTTAAAAAAAATGTAACAATAAATATTCAAAAACTGTAAGCCATCACTTGGATAAGGTTATATTTATGGTACAATCAAGAACAATAGAATTTTTCATGATTTCATACCTTCTATAAAAACCACAAAAAGGAAAATTGTCTACATCAAATTTCTACATCTCATCTACATCATATTTGTGTTGTGAGCCTACATAGGTAGTTCCAATGCTACACAATTCAACCTTTTATCAGTATCTTCCAATGAGCACCGGTTGATTTTTATATCTCTGATTTGTCAAAAATCACTTCCCAAACTAGATTTGGGTATATTTAATAGCAAATAAGGCCATTGCTTAAAACCAAATTTTTTAAAAGATGATTCTTTTTTCTTATTTTGTCTTGATTACAGAAATCCACCTATTTTAGTTCATGTTTAGAGTTATCCAGCTAGCAGTTTGAAGATGTCTCTTTAAACATAAGACCAAGGAAAGTGGTATTCAGATATAATATGCCATGAAAACTCCTTATCTTCCTGGAGGAAATGGAAAAGGAAGTTAATGTGTACCTGAAATCTCATAAATATTGATAATAAGAATCATTTGAATGCACAATTTTACTAGAATATACAATATAAAATAATTTATAAATTATAAAATTTATATGTAACTTAATATCTATATAAATAAATTTAATGTATTTGCATAGATAACACTGAACTATCAAACTTTAACCACAGAATCAGAATCTGACTCCATAATTACTAGATATTTAATTTAAATGGTGATTCTAATATTAATGTAGAATACAGATTTATACTTCATAAAACAACCTTCATTGCCTCTCCCTCATCTTTATTTCCCACCTGTCCAAAGTAATGCCATAGATCAACATGCTGAGAATGACAGAAATCTCTACAAAATTTTAAAATATTGTTATTCTAATGTTCAAATGCAAAGTTTCTAGATTCAAATGCTGGTGGTGTTTCATAAATCTATTAATAGTATATTTCAAATGTTTTCAAAAATATATACTGAATTACACTATTATCAAATCATAATGCTACTTCAAGTATTCCATCTGAACATTGTTCAATATAGATTGGCCCCTGTCTAAATATCTGATCATATTGATAGGTCAGGCCCTGAAATTAATATTAATTGGATAATTTAAGGAACTTAAATTAATTTAATTGCAATTTAAATTATTAACAAAATAGCAGGTTCATGAGGGTTATATTTGGGTGAATATCCAAAGATCATAAAGTGTCCAACCTATTTTATACCCTACTTCTATACAACCATTTTATTCCTGAGGGTCCTTGGTGCTTTCTGATGATGTTACCTAGTTTGAGTAATGAAATATCTGCAAGAAAACAACCAAGCTCAGAGAACACCAAGGACCACTTATTTCAACCCTGAGCTACAAAAATCCCCCTTATTGATCATTTCACTTTTATTTTTATAACACTTTGTTTTACAAACCTTCTACTTTTTTGTATTATAATAAGGTATAGCCCAAATGTCTAACGTCATTAGCTTAGTTAACATTAAATAACATTTTCCTTTCTGCTATATTGTTCAGCTGGCAATATCTGGACTTTTTCCAGATGTTTTCACATTCATTCAGTCCTGAAAACCCAGAACAGACATTTCAGCTGAAGAAAAAGTGAGAACACACACACACACACCTATACAACCTATTTTGCCAGCTGATGCAGAAGTATCAAAATCAATGCATACTTGTGGTCTTCAAAATATAACATCTTGGGTATTCTGCTGTGGAAAAAAAAAATTAGTTACACACAGAGAGAAAAGTCCACAAGTGATTAGCAGCTGAGTTTTATGAGAAATTTCCTGCACCACTAATTTGATCCCCCTTTCTGTATCTATAATGAGCAGAATATGGCTTGTTGCTTTAGCTTAATTTCTAGTGTCATTCCCATATGTATATTCAGTGGTTCGATATGTTCTGAAAAAAGCATGTAAAAATGTGACTGTATTATAGGAGCTTTTGTTTGTTTGTTTTTGTCTCTCCGTATCTTCGGGCTGTTTCATGTAAACACCCCATTTAGGTAGCCTCACAAAAAAGAGGCCACCATCATGTTTTCAGTAGCTTTGTTTTGAAAAAGACAGACTTTTGGGAGCGAGCACAAAATATTAGTATATCAAACAGAATAAAAAACAAGGTAGTTTAACTTGTTGGTTTGTTTGCTAAGTAAATATACAGTAGCTAAAAGTATTCCATTTTTATCTGCCTCCTGCAGTAATGGCTCTGTAACTTCAGGGCATAGACTTCAATAATTGATCAGGGTTTGTACAGCTCTGGCTAGGAGCAAAAATAAGAGGGTTACTTTGAACAAACTGCTACACTGTTGTAGCATTAGGCACCAAAACAAGATTCTGGAAATATAGATATATCTTTTTTTTTTTTTTTTTTTTTTAAAGGAAAGGAAAAGATGGATAAGGTAGAGTGGTAAATACTGCTCCAGGCTAGAAAGTAATGAGAATTTTTCCATAGAGAGTTTTGACCTGCTATTCAAAATTGTTTCTTGTCTTAATAAATCCTAAATGTGTAATTTACTTGCAAAGGAGAAAGAACAAAGGAACCAAAATTCTTTTGATAACAACACTTGTTAAGGTTGATAACTTGAGTTTCAAACGTGTGAAGAAAAACGTGTGACAGTTTGTTTAAAGATGACAACCTGTGTATTCAGATACTTTCATCTTATGGTGTTTTACAAAGCTTTGCTGTGCAAATGGTACACATACACACTAAAAAGCAAGAGAATATAAAGTATTGCTTCCGATCGTGTTTCACCAGTCCCTTTAGATCCATTTGCAATGGTACAAAACTGTTAATTGTTGTTGAAAGACTGAAGAGAATATAGAATATTTTCCCATCTTCTTGCTTCTCCAAAGCATGACATATGGGGAAATTTATATAGGCATCTGATGGATAGTATTTAAAACATACATATATTAATACTTTTTATTCTGCTGTCAGGCAAGGCATAGGTTTTAAGGTGTTCTCCTTTTATAACCCCACCAAAACATTTACAGGAAATTATTATCGTTGCAGATATGTGACCATTTGAACAAAAAAAAAAAAAAAAAGGGAACAGAAAGAAATTTTTTGAATTACCATCAGTTTAGAAAAATATGATAAATGCTCAATAAAAACAGAAATGTCATCATTATCATTCCCCGTTGTACTTAGTGTAGGTGTTCCAAGAGTCTCAAAACAGTGGGAGATTTTACATAACATATGTGCTGTCATACCTAGTCAGAAAGAATATAGAAATTTTATATTTAAGTCTAATTACTTAGAAAGTATGTGAGTGTTTTTTTTCAAAAACAAACTCAGATTTCAGTGGTGGCAAAATATGATCAGGAAGGAATTTATTTCCCCAAGATGTCAGAATTTATTGTCCTCTTGAAATGTACAGGGCACATCTGATTAAGAACATAATTAGCCTCCAGGGAGACCATGCAACTAATACTCTCATCCTGTATTCTTTGGCCTCAAACTGATATTCAGTGGCATTCAGTTTCTGCAATTGGCTTCTCCTTAGTTATTACAACTAATAAACTTTAATAAGCAAGAGACTTCTTCCCTCCCTCTTTTGCCTCAACCAACCAATCTTCCTTCCTTCCTTCCTTCCTTCCTTCCTTCCTTCCTTCCTTCCTTCCTTCCTTCCTTCCTTCCTTCCTTCCTTCCTCCTTCCCTCCTTCCTGCCTTCCTTCCTTCCTTCCTCGCTCCCTCCCTCCTGTTCTTCTTTCCTTCCTTCCTTCCTCCCTCCCTCCCTCCCTCCCTTCCTCCTTCCCTCCGAAACAGTTGTATCCTGAGATGTATATTTACTGGGATCTAATTTATCATGGCTTAATTGTATTATCATTTAAATTCTGTATTATTCAGATTATTTACCTCTACCTCTGTTTTTATGTTAGGCCTCAGTGCTACATTACTTTACAACAAGTAATAAATTTGAATCATCTCTGTTAAAAATGTATTCTTCAATTTATCTGTGATGTTTTCAATCCATGCTTTGGATATGCACTTTTCTGAAGAGTTAACATAAGTTAAAATAGCATTAAGGCAATCATAATAATATATAATGTTGCTTCCAAATAGTATTAGAAAGTTGATAGAAGTTAGATTAAGGCAGGTTAATAAACATTTATGCCTCTAAGTGAAGTAAAATCTCATCCGAACCAAACTTAGCTCCTAGTGACTCATGTAGTTAGGTAATCCATGTAGTTAGGCGATGATAATATTAAAGGACTAATGATAACGGGAGGGGTTTACCATTAAATTGTTTTACAAATTTTTGACTTAGGCAAAAAAGGGGGAAATTACAATAGCAATAGATTTTTTCAATAAATTAACATACAGAGGAAAGGTTATATCACGTAAGTAAATAAACTATTAAATTCCTAACTTATTGTTCTGAGATTTCTCCAATATATTTCTTTGTATCAGGAGGTAAAGACTTGAATCAAGATCCCCCCCCCTTATTGATAACAAAAGAATCATAGACCTTCCTCATTCAGAGAGTGGGAAAAAGAAAATGAGATGCAACAACAGATTGATGTTCTCTACTCTATACACTCCTGCATTCCTAATCATATGGATAAGGATAAATGTAAGCTTTAAATCTAATTAAATATCCAGCAAGTTCCAAGAAGACCAGAAATGAGATCTAATGGGCCAGGTATTTGAAGGTCAAGTGATACAACTAGGACATGGGATTGGATCAGTCAACCAAACCACAGGTTTAAATGGGACAATGGAACTGTAATCAAATACCACGAGACAAAGGGAAGTGATAGCGTCTGTTGCTGGGAGTGTTTTATACACTATATGTGGGTGAGAACTTCCACCTGGAACAAGTTATTATCAATGTTTCCCAACCTTGGCAATTTTCAGGTATGTGGACTTCAGCTCCCAAAATTTTTATTCACTAGATACAGTATGTTGCCTGTGCACTTTTGGGGACTTGAAATCCACATACCTGAAAATGGCCAAAGTTGGGAAATATTGAATTATTTGCTGCCAAGAATATAGACATCCTTTCTGGTCATGATATAATTGTTAGAGTCGGACAAAAAGGTCAAACTCACCACTCCTTTAGCCTCTGAGCTACCTTGTTCAGAGCCGAGAGTAATTTTTATCCAACCATGGGTTATCTAGTCAAAAAGAAGAAATAACAGTGTTCACTACCTTGTTAGTTCTTTGGTAGAATGTTACAGAAAACATACCAGGAGATAATTTTGAAGATAATAATATAAACATCTTGTTTATTTCTGTACAGAGTATTGAAATACCCTTTCTGTAGAAAATTAATGATTAGGATAATCTGTTTTACATCAGTAACTGGGTTAGATCATAACAGCTAGCTCACCTGATTGAACTGGCAAAAATTAAACAATGCACCTGAATGGAGGGTTTCTCTTAAGTTCAGGTTGTAGGTTAAAGTGGAAAATATATATATTAAAAAAAAGCAATACAGCCATTCACATCCTTGAATAATGCAATAACAAATCACTTTTGTATTGTGACGGAAACTACATGTGCTTGTATATATGTTTGTGTGTGTAATATGCATGTACTGTGCAGTATGTGTGTATGTAGGAGATAATTTTACCTCAAAAGTAGTTTCATTTTACTACTTTACATTAAAACAAGGCAACTATAACAAACAGAAGCTTAACAAAGCACAGTTTTTAGAACCATAAATAACACTGTAGCTTCTCTGTATTGATGTAATAAAAATATCATCCTCATTTGCAAATTTACACTTTCACGGACTGAAAAGATATATATATGAAACATGCTGAAATATAAATTATTCTTGGATTTGTCTATATGATACTTGCCTCGACATCACAGAAATTAACGCAAGAAGTTGTGACCAAATCCAAAAGGGTAGCTTTGGTGAGTCCATCTAACGAAACCTAATTAAGACCAAATCTCTTCAAGAAGCAATATGAAAATCTTCATTGTTTATCATTTTTTTCCTCAAGTATTAATATTGTTCCAGGCTCATTATTACTTCATTTGAACGGCATAATATTCTGAAACATAACGGAGCTGAGAAGTGTGATTAAAAGTGCTCTTCCCTCTAGGATTCAAATCATCCTTAATTCAGAAAATATGAACTGGCTTCCAAACAACATGTACCAAGTTGAGTGGCATATGGGAATTTGTTGTTTTCGAATACTTTTCAAAGAACTTGAAATAACAGGCGAGCATGTGCTCCTGAGGAAAAAAGTTTGTCCTGGCCTAAGAAGTACAGTACTCATTCATGGGTTCAACAGCCAAATATTGAACTTTTCCCATCGAAAGGATGTCTGATGCTGGAGTCAGAATATGACATTTACCAAAAAAGGAAAAAAAAAGAAAAAGTAAGTGGGGGAGATAAAGCCCTTCCAAAACAAAATAAAAACCTTCTCAAGTGTTGTTTTGAAGTGAAGCCACTTCAGTGGCATTTAGCAAAAAACCTGCTCAGATGGCAGGGAAGTTGCTCCAGCGGAATGTGGAGAAACGCCAACTGTACGGTATTAAACCCACATTCCTATTGAGAATTTGTATTGACAATATACAGTTTTATTAATATCTGTGGAGTGCAAGAAACAAGATACTCGAAAATGTTAACATTTCGAAGGAACAACGGCTTACTTGAGCTCCTGTTCCTGAATATTTGCAAGGATTGGGCATTCCTCCTTAGTCTTATAGTTCATATAATCACCACCCATTTCAAGGGCTGCTGTTTCTAGTAATAAAGGTAGTGCTCAACTTACAACCACAACTGAGACCCAAAATACTGTTGTTAAGCAAGACGATGTGAGTTTTGCCCATTTTACGACCTTAACTTAGTAACTTAACCATGTTAAGTTAGTAACATGGTTGTTAAGGGAATCTGGCTTTCCCCATTGACTTTGCTTGTCAGAAGATTGCAAAAGGTTATCACGTGACCCTGGGATGCTGCAACCATCATAAATACATGCCAGTTTTCAAGTGTACGAATTTTGATCATGTGACCATGGGGAATGCTGCGACAGTCATAAGTGTGAAAAAGTCATAAGTCACTTTTGGTGTGTGCCATTGTCACTTCGAACAGTTACTAAACGAATGGTTGCAAGTCCCCCTCTCCAAATACTGATGCCTGTTCTTCAATTCAAGAAGTTTGGCCACATAACTTTATCATTAAGAAAAAAAATCAGTTGTGGATACTCTGAGTCAGAATTTTCCTATCTATTTTCCTATCTATTTTCTTCTGCATCCCTTTCCTCAATTTCATTTTGTATGTGCTTAAATATACCGCCGCTATTAAAAAAATGAAATTGTTTCTGATTCCAATAATACATTTGTCAATCATTTATTTTCTGGACTTTTGCCAACTGGATCAGCAGCCACTAAAATAAAAGCTGGGTTCTATTAATCCTTGATCTTTTTTATTAGTTATCATAGTAGCACATCTATATGATTCTAATGAAGGAAGCATGCAGGATTTAATTGTTCATGGCTTATAAAAGCTAGGAATGAACATTGAGACTGGGTAATCCTCCATCAAGTCTTCTTTTTCTTTTCTTTTCTTTTTTTCCTATCATGCTCCAACTTCAGTGCATCTGTTCTGGTTCTTATTGATCTACTGATCCCCTTTAAACTAGAAAACCAAGCTTTCTATATGAAGCGTACCACATTCACCTCTTTTTGGAAGCTTTCCAATTAATCTTTTATCTGTGTACTGCCAAGTTGATTGACAGGGAAGGTCTTGAATTTATAATTTTGGAGGCATGTCTACGCTAATTGGTAGCAACAAAAACAACCAAGTTTTGTGGCACCTGAATAATTTAACACCTTTTTTATGGCATAAGCTTATGTGGACCAAGTTATTATTGTCATAGTCCGGGCCTCTGATGAAGATGACTGGGACCATAGTACAGCATTATAAAACTGCTATGCGACTATGTTGTTTGGACTGTTATATTTTGACAGCTGAATGACATCATCTCAATTTAAAAAAAAAAACATAGTTTATGAATCTGTTTAATAGTTTCAATTAACCCATGTAAAAAGAATTGTAGTAAAACCCCTTCTTTAAAATGTAGTATAATCCAGGCAGTCAGAATATGATATGACTGGTGATATTTTGTATAATGTAAAGCTCTATGCTTTACATAAAGTTCTACATTTTGTGAGGTGGGGTCTGCTGGTAGGTGTGCAACTTTCATTTTAAATAATTTTAAATATTTCAATAAGTTTTTCTGCATCTGTTTGGTAATAATAATAAAAAAAAGCTTTAGGAAAAGAGTGAAATGTCACCCACCCTTCCTGTTCGAATCCTGGACCTCTTGAAGCATTTTTGCTTTTTTAAACATTTACCTATCAAAATACATAGCTACCTCCTTCAAAAAGAGATTTATATACCTGCAGCTGACATAACATAGCAAGTGGGACAGAGGTAGGCAAATAAGACTTGTTTGCCATTTGGGGAAACTCATCATCTTTTTTTCTTTAAAGACAACATTTTCAAATGTTGAAGCCTCAATGCGTTTCTCTGTTCTATTCTGAAATAGAACCTGCTTTCTCCATGCAACAAAATGGGGTTGAAATGACCCAAATTTGAATAAGAAGGATAGATGGCACTTCACTGTTTTCTACACCTGCAATTACCCACTTCCAATTTCTTTCCAGAGATTGACACATGAATGGGATTCTCTTCCTAAAGCATGAAGAGGATCCTAATCTAGAGTTAGCATTTTATTTTTATTTTAATCACTCCATGCATAACAATTGTATAAACCAAATGCACCCTGAAAATAGGGGGGGAAATATAACTTACCAGACAGCTGGGTAAGAACTTTCCTTCCTACTATGCTAGTTTCCTGCAGGGTGTTTTTATGTACAGAACAATATAACACTCGTAATCACCATCCTGCTCTTTGAAGTCATATAGTTTAGCCCAGGGGTGTCCAGCTTGGCAACTTTAAAACTTGTGGACTTGTAACTCCCAGAATTCTCCAGCCAGCCATTATGGGAGCTGAAGTCCACAAGTCTTAAAGTTGCCAAGATTGGACAACTGGTTTAGTCCCTCCTGGGCCCTCTCTGAATGACTGAAGTTATTTGACTGACACAGATGTGTCACCCAGTTTTTGATGATTGTTTTTTTTTTTTTTTTTGCTAGCTTGGCAAAAACTTCTACCTATGCATCATTTTAAAGCAACATGCAATAATCATAAGAAGATTCACAGACACAAATGATCACAACAGTTTTAAAAACAAAGAAACAAAGAGAAAGCATGGATAAAACAAAAACTCCGGACTATTGGAATCAGCAAACTGACAGATGATTCATAAACATTTTGCTTTCCTTTGCAAAACTCTGCTGTTAAAATAGAGGACTTTTAAGGGGAGAAATATGTTCCCCAGAGTAAGCATTTTGCTTCTGGTTCCACCTACTGCTCTGCTGATACCTTTTTCTACCCAAGAGCAAAGCATTAGGAGCAGGTGGTAAATGTTGCAAATGGCAAATAATGTTTTTAAATGGATGCTCTTAGAACAACACATTGTCAGCTATCAATTGAAAAGGTAAATTGAACAAATGATGCTACTCTAAATAGCTATCATAGCTAAATTAGTTGGGTGAGGAACGAAGAGCTGTATTTCAACAGACGGGCCAGCAATTCTGCCTACTGTACGCAGAATGGAGCAAATGATGTGATTAGTGTTGTTATTTCTTTTTGCTGCAACAACACAACAACGCATGGACTGTTATAAAAAATGAGGGAGGAAAAGAAACAAATGGGAATATGCTGTCCACTGAATCTAATGAAATACAACATCTTAGGCAGTGCAATTTGATGTTTATTTCCTCTTTAAATCAGCTAAATTGTAGTTTTAGGAGGTTTACTTCCAGCTGTCTTATTTGGATATTACATTAACTCCTCTGAATGTAGAAACCATTGGGACTTGTCCATTTCTGGGGTCACGATCACCAAATCTTGAATTTCAGGGAACTTTATCAGATGATAATTCTGCCTGTTTAATAGTTGGAAGAAAAGACCAAGGTATAACTATTTAGTGCTTCTTAAATCTTCAAGTTGAATGCTGATTAAGTTCTAATTGTTAATTGAATGTGTTTTATTGAAGATTGAAAATTGGGTTTCATTTGTATTGCTTTGGA